TGATTTACAATCGATTTCAACGAGTATGTTGCACTGTTGAAATTTATTAAAAGCATCAAAGAGAAGAGTTAGCGTGGTTTGAAATCCCTCCAAGTCCTAGGCTCTCGTGTTTAGCGGGAAATAGCCACGCGTAAATCTCTAAAAACGAAAGCTTATTCTGCATATCCGTGCACTCTACACTCTCTCACACTATACTTAAAATGTACATGATGTGTTTCTGCAGTCATTTGACTGGTCCGAATGAAACTTACGCAATTGTAATTTAGATCCGGACGTTCAAATTAACTTTGGCCATTAGCAGTCCAATTTTATCACTCTCTCACTTCTCACTAGTACCCCACATATATTTTTATAATTGTTCACGTCAATTTCAGTTTTGTTATACACCATTAGTCATTGTCTAATTATCTAAACATATCATTTATTTAAAAATGAGACATTGCATCCTCAACACATTTATTTTCATGAATGATTTGATTTTTCTCTTTAACCGTTAATTAAATTCCTCTTCAAATTGGTCAATGTCTTATTATTCAAGGATCTACAAAAAAGTCATAATCAGACGAGACATGGCATTGTTGGTGAACACAACTACTGTATACGACTCTCGACAGATTAGTCATCTTTTTTAGTCCAAGTGTTGAAAACAATGCTACCTCAACAACACAACTACCATTTAATATTTTTCCTATTTCTTCTGTTTCTATTATTATACTTGGTCTTATCATTTTCTTGATGAAAATACTACCTCTCTAATTAAGAAAAAACAATAAAGATACGACAACAATGCATACCTCACCATCATCCATTCAATTTTTTTTTTCATTTAATTTTATAAATCATTTTTTTCGAAATAATTTAATTAAATCTATTTAATCAATTAATTAATTCTTGATGAATTTTTTCTTTCTGTTCTAGGTAAGATTACGTATTCATTCATTCTGATCACCAAGACCAGGTAATATTATTAATCTCTCTCATTATTTAAGTCTCTAAAAACTATCAATCAGCAAACTTTTTAAATTAATAAAATTCATTGACAAATCCAGTCTCTTTTTAATTCAGCAAAAAGTCGATAGAAAAAAAAAGAGAAGGATATATCGAAAGATTGATTGACGACAGTACGCTATAGCCCGTGAAATCGTATCGAAAGTCTAAAGTTTTTCCATTACCCTTTCGACATAGTTTACTACAGATATATAAAATAAAATATTATGTATATAACGTAACATATATACTATAAATAATAAGTAACATAAAGTAACAAAAGTGTCGTATTTATAAGGGTCACAATTGACTTGGTATTCTCGATAATAATGTGAAGTAAGTTAAATCGTTTAGTCTTTATTGCAGCTTTAAAGCAGTTAAGTTAATCCGAGTGTCTTGAGAAAGAAATCAAGAGGTTGAGAAATACTAAGGTATGGTGGAGGAAGGAGAAGTAGAAGGGGCTTCCCAAGAAAATAGGAAAGATTGCGAGGTGTATTTTCGAGCGACAAAAACATTAACATAAATCAGAAAACAATGAAAACAAAAGGGGTGTTTACTTGATTGGTCTTATAAGGCTGAAGGGATTGGAAATTACTAGGGGGGATATAAGTTCTTTCGTTAATTAGTATTGCAGCAAAGTTTACGTGTTTGTTCAAGTTCCTTACGTTGTAAGGATAATAATCATAATGTTAATAATAATTAATAAAGTTGATGATTCATTTCCTTTAAGTTTTGGAAACAAATAAATTACACTAACGTCGTGATGTTAATTCATTAAGTTTAACATTTTATATGACACTGTTTTATTTTTGTTTTTTTTTTAATATAAATAGTAGATTTAGATTTTTTGATGGAGAGAAAAAGAGGGTAGATATTGCATGTATACGATGCAAAAGAAAAAGTACCACTTATTCTACTCCTACTACTTTATTCCCTTCGTGTTGCATGAGTGTTAACCCTTTCGACCTCAACTCTTTTGCTTTTAGTGTAAATTCGATGAATCGTCACTTTTTATTTTTTTAAAACTTATTTTCTACAATAAATAAAGCAATACACACTGGTCTGTCATGTTAAATTTACTATGACAAATTTTATACAAATCAATAAATATGTTTGTACCTGGTTGGCTTTCGTGTGATAGGAAATAAGTGGAATAAAAATTTTAAAAATATTATTAATGCCGATGACATGAATGAAGAGAATTTTGTTGGATTATAAAGAGAAAAAAATTTTGCAGTATTTATTTCTTTATCGTTTTCTATTCTATTGAAATAAGATTTATTATTATATAAGATCTGTAGATATAATTGGTAGTATCAATTTCTTTACATACAACAAAAGAATCAAATTAATATTGCATTTCTATTATCTCAGATTTCATTTATTGTTTGAATATCCATTCAAGAATATACCCTATTCAGCTCTTAATACTTCAACCCCTTCACGAGGTAAATCTGTAAAAAAAGAATTAACGAATGAAAAACTTGATTTTAATAGAAAGAAAAAATACCGAATGAAAACTCGATAATTTTTTTTTTTTCTCGTCAATAAGTAGTAGCCCAACGTATTTTTTAAGTGAGTTAACTTTTACGGAAAAGAGTTTATTCTATGATTGTTAATCAGGTATGTTCACAGTATAAGCTGTTTATTGTTTTTCAACTTATTCATTTCAACTTCTATTGCGTTTGTTTTTTTTCCAACTCGACAAAGTTGCGTAAAACCACCCTTAGTATTGGGTTTCGGGTTGAGGCCATGACGAGTTTTCCACGCCGGATTACCTTATCTCCGGACTCTCACTCGCGAAGCACATCCCTTACTACATATATCTGTGTATAGATATATACATATATATTCTATCTCCTCATTTATACATGCTTTTCGACCGATTCTGATACAAAATCTCTCCCTCTTGTTGTTATATAAGTGAGTATTAAAATCATGACTTTACCGCTTTAATGATAAATAAATACTTTGAATAGAAAAAAAAGTTATCATTAATAATAATTAGTTGGAAACATTAAAATTAATTATAGATAAATTGACACTGTAAATAATTTAAGCATAAAAAATTTTTTGATTATTTTTTTTTTTTTTTTTGATTAATTAAGTACTTATTATTGAACAATTAATTTTTTTTTCATCTTTGAAAACAAGGGGGAGGTGGGGTAAAGTGAAACACTAAGAAAAAATGTAAACTAATTATTCTATTAACAAATATTAATAATTTTTGATGCATTAATAAATTGCAAAATAAATAAACAAAAAGTGCAATAAGTGTTTTTAAACTTATTCTAACAAATTAGTACATTTTCTTGAGTATTTTACTTCATTCTCCCTCCCTCTACTTTATACTTTGTCAAAATGAAATTGCAAAATGGCCAGAGAGGTGAAAAAAAGTAGTAATGAGTGATAGAAAATACTCCAATTAATTTGTTAATTCATTTTGTTTTTAATTAAATATATTTTTAGCAACAAAAAAAAAAACAAATCTAATAAATTTATACTCTCAATAAAATAATGCACATAAAGTGTTTTTAATATTAAAACTCCAAACACAAATGTTTGCATTGAAATTTAATATTAAGCTCACTCTAAAAATCTTGGACCTGAAGCACAATTTTTTATTTTATTGCAAATTTTTTGACATAAAAAAACAAAAAAACACTAAAAATATTTTTGAATATAAATTATTATTATTGTTTTCATTTAAACAATTTTTTATTAAAAAAACACAAATATTACTCCAATTTTATTCTGAAATGGAATAAATAATTCTAAAAAATCATCATCAATATTATTGGAGCATCATGAAATATTTTGGAGCAGAGAAATACATAATGAAGAAAGCGTATTGATTTTTTCCAATACTGATGAATATTTCTTTAGCTTATTAAAAATCTACAATATTTATTTCGTCTCGTTCAAGTGAATCACCTAATATATTTTTAACCAAATAATCAATGCAGCACTACCACCAGTGCTATTTGTTTGACATTGTGTCTCTCAATTTGTAGTAATATTACAATGGTCGATTATTATGATAATAGAATATAGTAGTGAAGGTTTAATGCATAATGACAGAAACAATCTAATCGAGTTATTAATCATTATTAATAATAAATTATGTGAATAATTTTAAGTGCACCAATGTGATCGACGAGTTGAACATTTATCACTTAAACATTCTTGGGGCATAATCCAAGTAGGTACACAGAGCCAACATAACGTTTGTGAACATGAGTCGTTTGTCATCATCATTGCTTCTATCTTTATTTATCTCCTAGTGGATGTGTACGTAAAATATATTTTTATTTTTACACTTTACTCTCTCACTAGTTTCTCTTCGTTAGTCCTCCAGTATTGTTTGTTTTCTTCTTCCACACTTCTTCACCTCACTTCTCCTTAGAATTTTGTTATTTTTTTAACGCCGTTTCCGTCAGTTTTCGGTCGACGTACGTTTTGGATGTCGCAATGTAATGGTGGTCAATTCCATGAACAACACGACCGCTCATTGCCATTGGAATAAATAAACAATGTGACTAAGATGATCGTTTGGTTGTATTATATTATACGCCGACAGGGGCGAGATAGTTTGCAGAGTGAAACAGAGATAGAATGGAATAAAGTGTAAAGAGTAAAATAAAGAAAGGAAATAAAATAAAAATATTCAAGTGTATGCGTGTGTTTGCACAGCCATACTGCCACGTTTCGTTACATCGTTTTCATTGTCAACTCCGCTTTTCTACGAATGGAATAAACCCACACAAAAATCAATCGTTTAGGATCTAACAGCTATTATTTTATATACCACCTATTTCATATTTTATCTAGACTCGAGAAATTTACACCTACACGGTAAATATTTCTTTTCCAACAATTTACTCGTAATTAATCAATAACAAAAAAAAACTTTTCGAATTATTTATCACGATAATTAATCGATAATTATCATATTTAATGGTGCACAAAAAGAATGTAATAAAAAATTAATAATTGAATAACAAAAAAAAAAAAAAATTAATTAAATAAAATTAATTACAAGGTGATTTAGATAATGAAAGTAGTAAAGTTGAACGACACATTGGAGTAAGAATAATAGCATAGGAAGAGTTTATGTCACGCGAATGAGTGAAGAAAAAATTTAGAGTGGGATATATGATGTGTGTTATAGGCATGTGGAAGGAGAAAAAGTGAGTGAGGAGGAGAATAAGCAAAGAGTTGGCGCGCCTTTGTTATTCTGAGGGGTGAGAAGAGAAGAGCCGAACGAAACGCGTAAACAGAGAGTCAACATGTAAACAGGCCACTCGTGAGACAAACAACGTAGTGGGAGAGCTCGTTACCATGAGGCTTTCTTTCTTTCTCACTCATATTAGTCATTCGATCATTCGTTCGCACGAGTGTATAGTATTAGACATGTTCGTTCACGTTTTTACTCTGCGTACACGCGTTTGCGTTTAAATCATCATGCATTACTCTAATTTTTATTTCATCAAACATTATAAGTCATTTAATTATTTTTTTCACCACAAAACACATTGATGACTCGAATGTATCTTATTGATTGAGATGTCACTCTAATGATTGCAAGAATAATTGTCGAGTGTTTAATTAAAAAATTATTCTTTTCATTTATCGGAAACTGTGTGATTTGTTTCGAACTTTTGTCTACCTTTTAACGTGTATGTTTTGTGAAATAAATAATAAAGTGAATAAAGTGAGAAGAGAGAAAGATGGGAGAGAGGAGGTAATCGACGTCACAACACCACGCGGTTCAACAGGTGCGGCGAGTCGCGTCATCGAGCGAGACGTATGTAAATGTATTTCAATTTTTTTTCTATCACTTTATCTATTTGTCAGTGAATACATAGATTAAATTATATTAGGCATTTTTTTTTGTTCATTATCACAAACTATTTTAATTATTATACAAATGGCTACTTTTTGTTAACTCTTCGACATTTAATCTAAAAGATTTAAAATAAAAGTAAATGTTTTTTTCGATAACTCACAGATCAGAAAACTATTAGATCAACCGATATATTTCATTTTCTTATTTAAATTAAGTCTTTGTCATTAATTTAATATATTTTTTTTATTTCTAATCATTACTTTCATGTAACAATAATGTAATTAATTTTGCATAAAATGATAAGCCAACGACCGAATTATTTTTAGAGAAATTTCGTATTTCTTCAGTTGAAAAAAAGATAATTAAAAATTTTATGGTTGATTACATTTTATTACAATTAGGAGAAGGAAAAATAATTAGTTTTGTTTTAGAAGTTAAATAAAATTCGCCGAACTATGACGTGAGATTCGAAGTAACGAGGAAATAAAAATAAAAAAAAATAGTTGGTATAATTGTTTGGTCTGAAAGAGAGTAAATAACGAGCAAACAAGCGATATACTACAAATAATAATACGTTAACCAACGACAAGATTGCATTCAACTGCCTAAGCGATAATATGTGCTAGTGTGTGAGATGAAACAGCTCTTGACGCGGATTATTAGTTTGGACTTTTATTATCGAAAGAAACTATTGTTTTCTATGTACTCATAAATACGTTAAAACATCATGAAAATATTTAAACTCTAAATGTTCTATTCGTCTAAGGTATTAAGGAATGATTTAATTAAATACTTAAATAACTATTTTAAATATTAGTGTCTCTGGATTATGTGACAAAAATACAATTGATTATTGAACTGTAAGACGATGATTCATTTGGTTGATAGATGACATCAAGTGCTTGACGTTCACTCTGCTTCACTCTTGTTGACCTTGGGCAGTATAGTATTCGAGTAACAATCGTTAATCCCAATGAACTTGATCAATGTCAATACATTTTTTTTTTTCTTAGAAATTTATTTATACTTCATGTAAACATGTAAAATAAAAATCAATTGTTCTGTGGTGAAAAAAAAAAAAATAATAATAATAAATTTAATAACAAAGTTCCGTTTTTGCTTTATATCGTTGATATACAGCTTCCTTTTGATGTTTTTGATTTTATCATTGTTAGATTCAGTTACTTATCAAATTAATTTTTTTTTATAATAGTTCAATCTTGTAATTAATTGTATTGATGTAACTCAACATAAATATATAATTGATTTATTTAGCTTTAGAAATAAATAAATTTTATTTGCATGATAATTTTTGTATATGTAAATTAACAATTTGAGTATATAATTGTATTACAATTTGAAAATATTTAAAACCTTTGGGATTTAAATTTATATTTATAGTACACATATAGGAGTTGAAAAAAAAAGGAATATAAAAATCAAAAATCCCATTGGATTTCTTGTTGAAATTACATCATTTGCATACCACTTCTCACTTGAAAATTGTAAAAAAAAAAAGTGTTATTATTCTCAGTCGACTCAAATTCACTTTTATTAAACTTATGTAATGGAAAATGTCTATTTTTATTTAAAAAAAAAAATAATAAAAGTAATCCAAAGCTGATATAAAGTTGTAATTGAATATTGGTTACAGGCATTAATTAAAAATAAAAAAAATATGTAGTGTTATGCAATAAATAGGTAAATAAAATTGAGGTAAAGTAATAAAATAGGCTTCTTAAACGAGGATTTCCTGTTTAGAAAGATGAGTAAAGTCGAAGAACATACGTGGGTTGATGATTTCTACTACTCGTAACCGCGTGAACGACTTCCTTCTGACTCTTATTCTCTTCTCAGTTTTATTTCAATTTTAAATAAAACACATTAAAAACTCTCACGACAGTATTGTTTGTATACTTATAAATCGTTGGGACAAATTAAAATAACGATAAAGCAAACAATTGATGTGAATTTTCTTTTTATTCTCACAATTAATTCAATGCTCAAAAAATATGCTAATAAATTGGAAAAAAAAAGAGACGAGATAATTTATTAATATTTATAAAAACATACTTTATTTTTATTTTGATCATGAAATGGTATGATTAAAAGTAATACATCTTATAGAAATCAATATGTCAAATGAACTGAAGACTAGAAGCACATGTTTTCTAAGGAACAGGAGGAAGCATTGAAGGCAAGAATCTTGGAGAAAATGGCAATGCATAACGGGTGACCGATTTAACCCAGCACGGCACATTGTAAGATGAAGTAAATCATGAAGGGAAAGCTCGTGCTAGGAAAGAGGACCATACATTATCCAACCTCCTAATATGTTCGTACGTGCGTGTACCAGCCGTTTTCCTGCCTTCTCTTCCATCTCTACTCCCATCACCTTTTCAACCCATCTCCAAACCTCCAGTGAAAATAGCACGATACCTGCAACCCTTCTATCGTCGTCTAGAATTCTATTTCCGCTCCAAAATTTGCTCTTCAAAATTATCTTTTACTCTAATAAACAAATAGGAAGTCTCGCTTGATGGCGGGCTATACAGTTTTGTTTTTTACAAATATCATATAGATATTCATTAAAATAAATTATTATGCAATTTAAAAAAGAATTATTTCAAATTTAACATTGCATTTAGATTTTGGAGTAATTTAATGATATTTAATATTTAATTTTGTAGAATAAAAATCAGAAAAATTGTCAAATAACATGACAATGTTTTTGTTTAAACGAAAAGACATGAAATGAAAGGAAACTATTATTACTTCATGGATGTTGAAATATATATATATATAAAATAAATTAATTTATATTTTATTTATTATAGGATAGATATAAGTCGATAATAGATATAAGTGTTTATGAAGATAAATAGGATATAGGTTAAGATATAAATAGGATAAATAGATAGGATATAAATTAAGATCAAGGTAGAGGTGTAGAAAAAATAGCTAATTTAAGTTTTGGAGCAAGAATGACTCCAAAAAAAATTTACTCCAAAAAAGTTTCTATTTCTTTCAAAATGATGATTATTTTATGTTGGGTAATATGACGGTAATTTTTACTTAAATTTCAGTAAAATGACTGCAATTTTTTACCAAAAATATATTTTTGCTAATAATGAAAGAATTCTTTAATATTTATTATTATAGAATTTTGGAAAATTTTTGTCTATTTATTTTGGAATGAAAAAAGAAAATGATTTAATTTTTATTGGATTAAACATAATTGATAATAAAATTAAAAATGAATTTTTTGATAAAAGAAAGGGTTGGAAGAGGAAAAGGGCGTGTAACTCTCCGTTATCTCGGCGTGCTTCCGTAGTCGGTATAGTGGAGAGGTAAAAGTAGAGATAGAGGAGTTGGAAAATGTAGGGTTGAACACAGTTGGTGGGTAGGAAGTGCCTGAGGTTATGAAGAAACTCGAAGCTTCGAGTAGAGTCCACAAGTAAAGACTAGAAAGAGAGATAGAGTCAAAAGAGGTCCGCAACGTTTTCATGATTTTCCCAAGCTAATTGTTATGCATGGTGCGCATCTCCAGGCCTTTTAGCCTTTAAACTCGACACCCTTTTCGCTGACTTTACTTCAAAAACGTTTGATACTTCCATTTTAGCTACCACCAAACTAACTCGTTTCTATTTTTATATTTTCACAACTATTTCCCGATTTTAACTGACGTCCAAATAACAGTAAAATAACGATATATATTTGTTGTATTGACGTAAATCAACGTGTTGAACTTTTTAAAATTTTTATTCAAGAGAAGTAACACAATTGATTGTACTTTCAATTAAAAAAATATAAATCATAAATATTTAAAAAGTTGTATTTAATAAAAATTTGTCAAGTAATGAAGATAGTGAAAGTAGTCTGACTGTAGTCAGACTAAACGGTAGATGATGACGAATTGACAAAGCCAAAAAAAGACGAATACTAATAGAAGTGAGGGAAGGATTTCTAAGAGAAGGGTTGAAAGCGCGTCCGGTCGGGAAATAACTTTCTTACCTACTTACTGTTTCATCTCCTCTGCAGAAAATTCCTCAAGACGTTCTTATTACCTTACATTGTCTTTACAATATTCCAAATAAATATAATCCTTAAATTCTAGAACTTCAATAATAAAACATAAATAAGCTAAAAATATTGCTAAAATCTTAAAAATAAATAATATCGATTCTCTAAAAGCAATTGAAATGATAGAATCATAGAATGCGAATGCTTATCGAGGTAATTTATATATTCCAGCGATAGTACAGGAAATAAATAAGAATCAGTTGTATATTTTGAGTGTTAAATTTAAAGTAGATTAGGTACGTACGCATGGCTATCAGATATGGTCACTAGCGCGTGCGAAACGCGCCTATTTTACACTGCATCGCGTGTCTTGATAACGTTCTCCGAAGCAACTCGACAGTATTTTACTTGCTACGCCGTTTCTCGCACCTTTCTCTTTTCTCTATTTCTATTTCACTCCCGTGTGTATCGGTGATATCTTTCAGCTTTAATTCGCCACGAATTCGCGTGGCAAACTTCTACCTATGGCTTCGATTATTATTCGCATGTGGCTTAATATGAATCCTCATGAAATATAAACTGACTTAGGATTGTGGAGCTGCGATTAGTCTCTTCCATATACATATACTATTTGCCCTTACTATATGTATAATTCTCCTCTTTCTAACACTTGGTCGATGGCATTTGTGTTTCTTTGTTATTATACCTTCGAACGTGCTGCAACCGGCGAAATGTAGTTAATCGTTCTAACGAAAATACACATTGGTACTGGTACCGAGTTGCACCATCGCCTCTTCTCAAAGTGAAAATTATAAATTGATCGTTTAATTATTTATAAATCTTTTTTTTATTTTATTACTTCCTATTTTTAACTTACAGTTAGTAAGTTATTGTAATGGAGATGATTTTCGAAATTCGTAATTTTATCATATTTT